GAAAGAGATGATAGAGATAGAGATGATAGAAATAGAGATGATAGAGAAAGAGATGACAGAGAAAGAGATGATAGAGATATCCATCCATCCATTATCCAAACCGCTTATCCTGTTCAGGGTCGCGGGGCGCTGGAGCCGATCCCAGCTGACAATGGGTGAAGGCAGGGTACACCCTGGACAGGTCGCCAGTTCATCGCAGGGCACATATAGAGACAGACAAACATTCACGCTCACATTCACACCTACGGGCAATTTCGAGTCTCCAAATAACCTAAGCTGCACGTCTTTGGACTGTGGGAGGAAGCCGGAGAACCCACGCTGCAACGGGGAGAACGTGCAAACTCCACACAGAAGGACCACCCGGGATCGGGGATCGAACACTGATAGATATGATAGAGATAGAGATGATAGAGAAAGAGATGATAGAAATAGAGATGATAGAGATAGAGATGATATAAATAGAGATGATAGAGAAAGAGATGATGGAGATAGAGATAGAGATGATATAAATAGAGATGATAGAGATAAAGACACTGATGTAAAGAATTGTCATTTTGGTTGTTCCTTGTCTTCAGAAGCTGCTGCAGCACATGGAGGAGAGGCTGGTTGGCTGTTTGTCTCTTCGCTGCTCCATCGGTGTCCACAGAGACATCAGAGATGCTCAGAGACACATGATCGGTACGACGTCTGTCTCTCTGGTCACGTTGTCTTCTCTACGCTGGTCACAGACGTGTGACATGTGTCTGTCTGTCCTCTGTCCTCAGACAGCGTCCGTCCTCTGCTGTCCCCGTCCGTCCACGAGCAGCTCTCCGCTCCCTCAGCCTCCTTCGACTTGAGCTACGCCCTCGGCCTCGTGGCCCTGTGTGCAGACTTCCAGGAGAACATAGAGTTCCAGTTCTCTCTGGGCTGGACGGCGCTCGTCTCTCGCTTCATCGGAGCCTCCAACGCCAAGCGGGCGCTGAGCGGCCCCGGCCCCCGACTGCAGGTGTTTCCATCACGTCCAGACACTTTGTTTTATGATTTATGAGTTATTTATATATTTGAGCTCATCTCCATCACTGCTCTCTGCAGGAGAGCTCCACCTTCAAGGACCAGATGGTGGTTTACATAGCGACGGGTCTGGTGTCCGTCACCTCCAGAGCGTCCATGACGGTGCTGGTGATCGGTGGAGTGGTACGTTGAGCATATATATATATATATGTGTGTATATGTGTGTGAATATGTGTATATGTGTACACCAGTGGTGGGCCGTCAGGGCCTGCAAGGCCTTCTCTGTTGGCCTAAACAGAATCACAAAGTTATGTCTATTTTATAATTTAATAATGTTTCTTAAATACACTACATGTATTATAATTTATAAAAATGTTTCAGATCATCAAACAAATTTAAATATTAGACAAAGATAACACAAGTAAACACAAAATGCAGTTTTTAAATGAAGGTTTTTATTATTAAGGGGGAAAAAAAATCCAAACCTACATGGCCCTGT